ATATCCATTTAAAACTTGATGTCCTTTTTCTGTGGCATTTTCTGTAGCTCTTTTTCAAGTCTTTTATGCTCATCCTCTAGGGCCTTAGAGGCTAGTCTTTTCATAGTATTCCTTTTCCTTGTATAGTCTATTATCAAGCCTCCAACATATGCCTTCATTATATCCCATACATTCTGAATTGATGTATCTTCTTTTTTTGTTTTCTCTAAAGAAAAAAGCCAATTCTTTCTCCATCCACTGTGTGAAGTCTTTTTCCTTTAAAATAGTATTATTTAACATCCATCTAGATCTTCTTTTTTGTCCTTTCCATTTAATTGTCATTGGATTGTGATCTGCCCAAGTACTTGTTTCAATATTTATTTCTTGAATGTTAGTTATTAATTCTGTTGACATCCATATCATATCTATTCTGGACCATGATAAGTGTCTATTTGAATAGAAGGTGTATTGTTTAGTTTTAGCATTTCTTTCTCTCCATGTATCTTTTAAGTTTATTTCATCTACCATTTTAAAAAAAGATTTAGGGAGAGTCTTTCTGTTTTGCTTTATTGTTTTCTGTGCTGTATAGTCCAATTTATTGTCTACAATTCCATTAAAATCTCCCATCATAACTATATTAGCATAGTCCAGTTCAATTATTTTCATATGTAATTTTTTGTAGAATTCTTCTTGTTTGTCATCTGGAGCATAAAGTGCAATCAGGAGTGTTTTCATATTATTGTCCATTATTTCCACCATTAGTATTCTTCCATCATCATCGGTATAGATATATTTTACTGGGGTGGTCTCTTTAATATATAAAACCACTCCTCTTTTCTTACATTGTGTCAAGGAAGTAAATATTTTCCCTAATTTTGGCTGTACCAACAATTGTTCATATTGTTTTTTAAATGTACTTCTTGTAGACAAATTATATCAAATTTTAATTTTTCTAATTTATGAAAGGTTTTCCTTCTTTTAACGGCTGAGTTAAGTCCATTTATATTAATTGTAATCAATTTTTTCTCTTCCATGATTATATTTTATAGTTAGGTTTAGCAGCTCTCGTAGATCTTAGTTCACGTTGTTCTTTGGCTTCCACCTTTCCACTACTGCACCTTCTTCTTTTTCAGTCGCCATTTGGCAGTCCTCTTGGAATTCAATTAGTGAGATCTCTTTTTCTGCCTCTTCCTTTTTCCCTCCAAAAAATTCTGTATAAAATAATTCCGCTTTCTCAATTGAGTCAATTCTATGTCTCTGTTCTTGCCATGTGAACATTAAACCTTCTGGAATCAGCCATCTATAATTCACCTCTTTTTTAAGTAGCATTTGACTCAGGAATTGGTATTCTCTTCTCATTTCTCTCACTCTTCTGGGTATTTGTTTTAAGACCACAATCTCCTTGTCTTTATATTTCAATGTTTTCTCTTTTGCCACTTGCAATATTTGCGTTTTAATGCTACCATGCTGCTGGAAAATATATTCTTTCTCTTTTTAAACTTGCACTACAAGATATTGTAGAATATGGCTTTAGATAAATTCTGTAGGCTCTAATGTGGTGATGGGCCAATATTTATGTATAGGTTGATCCACTCCTTCCTGCGTTTGTATTTTATCTCTCCTTGACCTTTCATTTTAATTGCATTTCTGTCTCCCCTGCTAGACAATGTTCTCTCTCCATTTTTCTATTCTGGCTTACTCTGCTCATTTTCAGACATATGGTTTTTAAGCTGCTACTATTATAAGTAAAGTCAATATACATCAGCCTCTGGCTCCACTGGTATCGCTGGTAAATGCCTGTCTCTCTCTCATTCCTGCATTTTGCCTTCCTTCATTCTTTTTTCTTCTTCTCCCTGAAGACTGCTTGAGTTAACCCTCCAACCTTTCATCCTGCAGTCCAAAAATCTGAAAATATGTTTTATTTTTTTCCCACTAGCTCTTGCAGATTAACGTCCTAGTAATTTTGTGAAATACATATGGGCCTTTTCTCTGAATCTTATCAAGTGCTGTTATGTGCTTGCTGATGATGCTAGTGCTAGCTTTAGAAGTAGGTGACAAAGAAAACTGAAGTGCAACAAGGAATCCAACTGTTTGGAGCTGATCAATTACTGATCAATCTTGCTAACCTTTCCTGCCCTCATCAATAGACAACTCTCATCTTAGCCTATCTTTTCACCTCCTACCTTGCCTGAATATTCAGTGGCCTGAAAAGGCAACAGGTGATTGAAATAATGAGCTTTGAAGTGATAAAATTGCAGGGGAAAATTGTAGCATTTGTGTACCTATGCATGAATCTATGAACATAGTGCAACTTCTGAATTGCCCCAAGTGCATGACTCTGATCAGGGAACAACAAGATCAATAAAACAATAAAAAAATGGCCATCCTCCTTCTCCACTACTTCTTAAAAGCATCAAAGGTCTGTGTAAAAAGGCAGGGTTTTTCAAACACTTCTTAAAAGCTGGATGGGAAAGCCCAACCACATATATTGAGTTGGCACGTTTCAGTTGGGGCCATGGATTCTGATCCATGCTTCTAACTCCTGGGGAGTACCCAAATCAAGGCCTAATAAGTCATTGCCTCTCTTCTATTAGAGAGTTTGCTAGTTTTCTTATAACTTAAAATGAATTTTCTAGAGAACCATTGTAAAATAATGTTCCCTTGCTGAAATACTAAGCATAATGCAAGTTATTATTTTCTCCTTTTTTATCTTAAATCAAGCATTTCCCACTTCAAATATATCCAGAGATGCATTTTGCAAATTGTACAAATGGTTATATGTGTTTTGCTTAATTTATATATATTCAATCACTCTCCCTTTATATCATACTTTTTAAGAAACTTGATTTAATTTCTAACAGAAAGGATGATATTAACAAACAATAAAAGAAAATCTGATAGTAATTATAAGAGTAACAAATTCACGACTATAAAAGTTTTTGTGGATCACAATTCACCTCCTCAAATCCATGGAATATAATCATGTGGGGAGAATATTGCACAGAATTTGTAGGGAGGTAAGTAGTAAAGCACAAAAGTCGATCTTCCTAATAGAAAAACTGCATAGTAAAATTTGCACATATTACTTTAGATAATGTCACATTGGAATGTGAATTTTAGAGATCAATCTCCATCTCTAGATATTATGTGTTCTAAAGTGGTAAAAACGTTCTTTCATTTCTATCCAAACATCTCTTTCATGTATTAAAATGGCTTATTTTCAGCAGAATAAAATAGTTGAAACCTGAAATGGTAAAGTTGCATCTTTTCAGACACATGAAAAGATAGCAAAATAATCCTAAAAGTAAAAGTTTGTATGAACATAACCCTTGTAGAGAACGGGTGATAAATATTTGAAACTTCATATAGGTATTGACACTAATGCTTCCTGGTTATGTTATAATTATGATTTCTATAAATGCTGTGGTGACCCAAAAATTAATTTGTCATTTTAAAATAGATGTAATATTGCAATCACTTCTAGCTTTTTGTAATATATCTGTGTAAAAGGAAATAGTTTTTTTGTTCATAATTGTTAGACTATCCACTGTTCTTGAATCTATTGGTAATTTTTATAAATGGTGATGTTTTCACTTACTTATCTTTATTAAACAAAACAATATGCAATATTTTTATTTCCTTCCCTTTTTGTTACTTTGTTTTATTTCATTCAATCTTTTTTTCATCCAAAATTGATTGAGGTATTGATTTTCCAGGGTTGTTGTTGTTGTTGTTGTTGTTGTTGAAAATACAGAAGGAAGCTTGAAAGTGATTTAATATCATGTATTGATTGAAATCTGCTTAAATATGTGTCTTTGATTGTGAAGTACTGCAAAATCAACTTCTGTGAAATACTATTATTTTTTTGCATTAAAAAAACTGGAATTTACCTAGCAGTGATTATTCAGTAATAATTTCATGTCTGTTTTATATTTCAAGCAAGCAAAAAACATGGGCAGAACAAAAAAAAAAAGGCCCATATTAGAGACTTATTTTGTTGGTTCTTAATGTAGGTATCTTTTTGTCAAAACAATTACCTAGAACAACTTCAAATGCACTTATATGCATATAATATAGATAGAGTAATTGACTTAAGCACCATCAAGTCAGTGTGGACTCTTAGCAGCTATATAGGTAGATTTTCTTCATGTCAAACTGTTCCTGGCCTGACTTTTCAGGTCTTTTAACAGCACACCCATTGCTATTGTATCTGACTCTATCTGTGTCATTTGCTAGTCATATTGCTCTTTTTCCTTTTATCTTTCCAGTAAAATCTTCAAATAATATGTCTAAAGTAGAGTAATTTGATTCTGGTCATTTATAGCTCAAGTGACTGCTCATGGTTGATTTGTTCAATGATTTTATAGTATTTGTTTTGCAGAATCCAATCCCTTTTGGTCACTGGAACCCAAGTTTTAGTTTTTCAAGCTTTTGGACTCATGATGGAGCCCATCTTCAGGAAACTTCTTCTCATCAGGATGTGTTCTGGTGAAAGAGAAGTTCTCTAAGGATGGGCTCCAGACTGAGTCTGAAAGCTCAGAAGACTAAATCTCTGCTCCCGGTGACCAACCCAGATTGGATTCCAAAACGTCAACCCAGAGCACGTATATTTGCCTTCATTCGTGAAATTTGTTTTCTTGGATGATTCTGTGTGTATGTGTGTGCATGTTATTGAGTTTCTGTATGTATATAAGCTAAAACTTTATGGGCAGATAACCATTGTTCTGGCCATAAGCAGTAGCTAGTAACCTCTCAGACATTTATGAAATCTTTCTTCAAAGTTGGTTTAGAAAAAGGAACACAGGAAGAGTAAAAAAAATCCAATAAATTGCACCATGGTAATCTAATGTAACTGATAAATCAAAAAATCCAGCTCAGTAATGGCAATTGTAATAGACTCAAAACAAACACTGCGAGACGTGATCAGAGAAAGATAAATTCAATTCTGGTGTTTGCAATGTTCTGCTTTAGTTATTGTTTTTAAATGCAAAAGCCTGAAGCGTGATATTTTTATCCAACAGATAATTGTGATGATCAGCTAGTGTCAGCCTTGTCTCAGTCATCATTCAGCAGCTCATCAGAACTGTCCAGTAGTCACAGTCCAGGATTTGCAAAGCTTAATCGAAGAGACGGTAAGTGCTCCCTTGGTTATTCTTCTTAATTTCAGCAAGTTTACAAAAGAGATTTATGAAATCAAATGAATTGTGTGTTAAATTAAAATGCCAAAATAGAAGCAAGTCTTTATCAATACTATGATGTATTTAGTGGAATTTAAATGCCTTCAGAAGCCATAACCATCTTGCCTAAACTCAGATGTGAGATAATTTGCATCCTCTATTTCCAATTTTACTGGAAGTGCTTCCTTATCACAGATTTAGAGTCTCAGTTTGCAGTCAATGTTATCCAATCTGGTTCACTAGGCTGTGTGTCCTATTTTACAGGCAAAGCAATGAGAAGCAGTGGTAAAAAACAAAATGTTTTTTGCTGTGACAGAAAAGGGAAAGCAAGAGAAACCAAGGGTTGTAAATGACACAGATCTAGGAGTGGGGAAAGGCAGGCTATTTGAGTCTCTCTCAGATTATTTCAAGGAGATAATTCTGCAAGGCATCTTCTTTTCTATCGTGTATGTGGATTTACTGACCATTCAACCTTTTAAGAAGTTTGTTAATATATGTAATTTGTTGTGCACACAAGTTAAATTGCAATGACATCTGGTAAATATCAGTAGCTGACTATCCCTCATAGTTCATTAGCCAATCAGAATGGAAACCCTCATGCAGTCCGTAGGAAGCCTGCCTTGAAGCTGAATTGGAAACTACTGGTGATTCAAAATGCAGCACCTGCTTGCTGATGGATGAGACCTGCTATAGCAGGATAACAGCATGCTAAGGAGGCTGTGTTGGCTGTGGAGCCAACTAGAAGATATCCCTTCCAGCCTATTTGGCACACAAATTAGAATAACATGGGGTACTTTGTGAAATGCTTTGCTGAAGTTATGTTCCCATAATCTATTCAGTCAAAAAAGAAAAGAAAAGAAATGAGGTTAGTCTGAGAAATTTCTCTCAGGTTTCAATTTGGCTCCTTCATTCTGTTCTTGACACCTGTTGGTGGAATACATATCCTCTTCTCAGAGAAGACTTGAGCTGATAAGAGCTTTGCCAATATTTTATGTAAGTCTCGCTCTCAGCAAAAAAGATTGATTTCATTTAAAACAGGAATTTTGCTATTCAGATGGCTGGTCAACAACAGGCTTAAATTTAATAGGCTTTTAAATTAATCTGTGAGATAGGAAAAAATCTTGAATAAGCAAAACTTGACAGTTTTTATTTTATTTTTTAACATATCAAAGACCTTTGCAAATTCTCTCATGTACTATGACAGGTATCACATACTTTTCAGAACCGAGAAATGGTAAGACGATTTATAATATATCTAGCTAGTTAGAATAGGGGAGACAGAAAGCTGATAAGGAAAGCAGAGGCAGATTGATGACAAAATATGGTACTGTGAGTGCAAGCATTAAATTTCAAAGACCCCCAAAAGAGAGAGAAAGGATTACAAAAAAGACTGAGAACTGGGGGATAATAAAATGGAAGCAATTCATCCTAAATTCTAACTCATTAGAAGAGTGTCCAATTTCATACATCAACCAAAGTATCATTTCCAAATTATGGTAAGCAATTTCCTATGTTATTCTAAATTGATGGGGTCTCACTTTGAGTTCTATGTTTTGGGAGTTCCAGTTTGGGAACTGGAATAAGTGCAGAGAAGTCAATGTCGGTGATCTTGGAACTAGAAACAAGGGCTAGGAAGAGAGATTAAAATTGTTGGATAGGTTTTGTCTTCAGAAAAGATGACTAAGCCAATTCTGGGAGAATCTGCATGTTTCTGGAAAGATGTCACACAGAAGAAAATTAAGATGCGTGTCTATTAGCACAGAACACATAAAAATAGTCATACATTTCAGAAAGGCAGGTTCTGATTGAATGTTTGTGGATGATGTTGGTATACTTTCTTAAAGCAAAACCAATTATTAAGGAAAGTGCTGATCTCCCTTTCAGTGTTGCGTGTGTCCAAGCAAAGACTGGGACACTTTTCTGTTACGGATCTTTGAATTTGGATCCAAGGGCTCCTTCCAGTTATATGATGATGATTCAGTTCTTTTAGATAAACAAGAATTCATTTAAATGGATCCTCATAGTTAGTTTCTAAAATAAGCCCATTCATCAGGGGAAAAAACATACAGTTCAACACAAATCTTCATTAAGGACTGTTTTTTAATATATATAACCTGACAAGACTCTCTCTCCTAACATGGATAATCAATCACTCTTGAGCATGGTGCTTATTGATTATTAGTATTTATAAATATATTGGCATATTCTATGTTTAAGTTTATAATTTATATTGATTAAATTTTACTAGAATTGTGTATTTGTGATTGGGTAGTTTCTGACAGCTCTAATTATTCCTATTTATTCACATTCTGTTCTATGTGTACTGAGTAAGTAAATAGCATAAGGATTCTTTCCAACTTTATTTATTTATTTATTTATTTATTTTTTATTTGATTTTGTCAATCGCTTACAAGATAATAGGTATAAGTATAAACATGAGTAAGAATACAGGAAATAGGTACAAATAAATGGGAACAATAGGACAGGCATGGGAAACACGATGGTGCACTTATGCACGCCCCTTACAGACCTCTTAAGAATGGGTGAGGTCAATAGTGGATAGTTTGACATTAAAGGAGTGGGGGTTAGCGGAGGTAACAACAGAGTCAGGTAGTGCATTCCAGGCATTAGCCACTATGTTGCTGAAGTTGTACTTTCTGCAATCAAGTTTGGAGTGGTTAACATTGAGTTTGTATCTGTTGTGTGCTCTTGTATTGTTGCGGTTGAAGCTGAAGTAGTCATTGACTGGTAGGGCATTGTAGCAGATAATTTTGTGTACTACGCTTAAGTCCAACCATAGGCGGTGTAGTTCAAGATTGTCCAAGCCCGGAGGGCGAAGCTGGCGTCACGACAATACGGCATGCGATCTTGGAAGTCTGAGATCGCTGCCGATATCTTTGCTCCCGGACGATCCTATCGGATCTAAACCACCCCGAAGAGACGGTGAAAGTGAAGAGCGCATCCTGTTGATCCCAGGGACACCGCAAAGTCCTTGGTAGATCCAGGAGAAGCTCTTCTTGCCAGCAACAAAGAGGCAGCCATTAAAGCTGCTGAAGTTGGGACAGCTCCGAAACGGAAGAGAACAGAAAGAGAGAGTGTGCCGGTTTGGTGAGAAATTTTTCTTTATTCTAAGATCTGAAAGGGCACCCTAAGGAAAAGAAAGAATCTGTAAAAGTTTTGATAGAAGTCATTAAGCGGCTATTTTAAACAGGAATGTCAAAGTAATGTTTTTTTTCTCATTGCTGGATTTTCTATACATGATCTTGTATTTTGAAACTGGACTGTCTTTTTCCTTTACATCTATTTTTTTTCTCCTTTTTGATTTTGTAACTATTTTAGGCTAGAGACTCCCATTTAGTTATTTCTTTTTTAAAAAATTTTTTTTTATTAATTCTTATTGCATTTTGCTTGGAAAAGGAGGGGGAAAGTGAAAGCAAAGAAACTTTGTAACACTGCCAACTAGAGGCTTGGAAATATTCTATTTCTCTTGTGACCAGACAAAGCTGAGAAAGAAAGAACTGAGACTTTTTTCCAAGGACATTGCTATTCGATAAGATAGAGGGAAGAGCATGGGAGAGTATTATTGCAGGCGCTCTTCTGGGTTTCTATCAACATCTGGAGTCTGGTGCTGAAGTTTATAGAAAAAGAAAAGGTGATAAGTTTCTGGAGAAGAGTGTTATAACAAGAGCCTTGGATAACTCAACAAAGTGCAGTGTGTTTTCTTGGTTTTTTCTAAGCTGTGCTACCCCTCCTCAACAGTTTACTTTTTGAAATAGCTATTTGGACTTTTAGTTCTTTGGAATTTGCTGGGAGAAGATTAAAAGACAATGTAATTTGAAAATTCCAGTCTGGCTATCGACTATTGAAGCATTTTCTTATCCTATAATATACAAAAAGGAACAAACAGTTAGATATGGTGAAATATTGAATGAAAAGGGTGAACTTAAATCTATGCAAAAACTAGAGGAACAAGGTATAAAGTTGAATTGGTTTTCATATGCGCAAATACATTCAAGGTATGATAAAGATTCTAAAACAGAAGGTTTCTATGATAAACTGACTGACTTAGATAAGATTTTGACAGGTACTGATGAAAAGGTGATTAAAAAATTGTATGAATATTTATTAGAAATTAAACTAGAAGAAGAACAAGTTAAAGAAACTATGATTGCTTGGGGGAAGAATTTTGGATATGGGATTGATCTAGAGAAATGGCAAAAATTGTGGTCTCAAAATTATAAAATGACAATGTCAACAGCATATAAAGAAAATTTGTATAAGATGTTTTACAGGTGGCATTTTCCCCCAACAAGAATAGCAAGAATGTTCAAAAATAAATCTGAAAAATGTTGGAAATGTCATCAGACACCTGGCTCATATTACCATATGTGGTGGACTTGTGTGGATGCTAAAAAATACTGGACTAAAATCCACACGTGGTTGGAAAAAATGACAAAAAAGCATATAGATTTGAAACCAGAGATATTTTTATTGGGAATTTTACCTGAAATATATAGTAAAGATATGAAATACCTGATCGTAAATGTATTAACAGTGGCTAGGATTGTATTTGCTAAAAACTGGAAAAATGAGAAAACACCATCACAGGAGGAAATTATTAAGAAAATATTGGAATGTGCTGAAATGAGCAGATTGACATTTGAAATTAGAGAACAGGATGATAAACAATTTTATAAAGTTTGGGATCTATTCTATCAATGGTTAGACAATAAAGTATAGTAACGAAATATGTAGACTTGTAGAAAATACTAAATATATAACGATGTATTCTTTTCTTATTATATCTACAAAATGATTTTAGGATAGATTTGGGATGATAATATGAATTGTCACAAAACAAATTAAGTAAAATATGATTATTTTCTAAAGCATGAATGAATAAAAGTATAGTCAAATGATTGATTAATAATGATACCAATGTATTTAATATTGGA